AATACGAAGAAGCTCTGCAACCTCAGGGAACCTGTTTGTAAGCATGAATTAGAAATATTCTTATGATCACAAATTTATTTATTTTAGGCTGGGAAAGAGACTTAAGCAATCAAGCGTCTATTTGCTTGAATTCTTTTAGTTGTAGGTGTGGGTACGTATGAGTGTGTGCGTTTTGTGTTGTGTGTGTGAGAAAGAGAGACCTACCTGGGATCAGGTTTGAACCACCTCCAACAGTCAGGATAGTCACCACCGGCAATTACTAGGTGCCTGGCAGGTAGCAGGTAACATATCTTCCCACTCCTTTTGTATAAAAAAATTCTCTGTGCGATGAAGGTGATATGATTAAAGACTCAAGTGAAAGAGGAACCGAAGGATCCATAAACGTAATCATCATTAATTATTTATATTCCCAACAAGAAGATAATCCTCTGACAAGCATAGTCCAGGAAAAGAAAGAATGAATACCTAGGCCACATCCATTGAGTTTTGTAAAATTTCTATAAGCAATAATCTTTGTAGTTACCTGCTGTATAGACATAAATTCAGGACTACTAGCAGAATGGAAATTTATATCAAGTCACAGCTACCCTAAAAGATGTACAAGTACTTTTTAAAGTTAGTAAAAATATGTTAAATTATAAAGATATAAAATTATATCAACTTGTATTTAATTTATCAAGTAACACATTTTATTTCAATTTAACCAGTTATAACATACAAAATACAAAACAGGGAGTAATATGTGGTATATATTAACAAGAATTGTTTAATTTTTAATTTAAAATTAGAAAACGAAAACATATGCAGATTTTTAATAGTTATTAATTCATGGTTTAAAAAGCAAAAAAGTAATATTACCAGGAATAAAAAAGAGAAAAAACAGTTAAATTCGAACAATTTACTTCAAGTTAACAGATATAAATAATTATTTATTTCCTATAAATTAAAACGAAAAAAAAACTAGCTTGATTTTTCAAAACAACCGACTGGAAGAATATAAAAATTGCAAAACATTAACTGTGTACCTCAATTTGAATATGTTCAGTGAAAAAATTTTTAACTATAACTCAAAAGCAAGTGCATCCTACACGTATTTTTTTTGTTTTTGGAATATTAGAACTTTTACCTTGCTTATCAACTGAATCTGAAGTTTGTCATCTTCATTTATTCCCAGAAAACTTGGGAGTTCTGAAGCAAATATCTGAACTTCATCACACCCGTGCACCCGTAACCGTTTCAATGATGGCCATTCATTAATATGAATTGGAGGGACGAAGCCTTTCAGTTTGGGTAGCTTAGAAAGATTTATGTGTGTCAATTCTGGAAAGAGAAACATTGGGACAATTTCCACCAAATTAGTTGGCTGAGTGGTTATCTGAGCTTGTGGTTGGCTAGCACCAAATATCTCTTCTAGTGAATCACAATTCTGTATCTCCAGTGTGTCTAGCTTCTGGCGTACTCTTTCCAGCATACTAAATGGGAAAATATTCAACAGCTTTTCACATGAATCCACAGTAAGAGAATTTAGTTGGCAAAAAGAATTCACATCATGTTTGTCGTCCCATATCTTGGACCAACTCCCCATAAACTTGATTATCACCCGCTCTAATCTAGGGAATTCCACCTAAAAATTTTATCCAATTACATTAGTAACTATAGTTCAGCTAGAATCAGAGACAGGGAACACATAAAAGGATGATATATAAGATAATAAATTTTTAGAATCTTATTTAAAATTTTAAAAACTGACTGGGATGAAACTAATAG